AAGTTTTTTTAGTAGTTTCACCCAACTATCTTGCTTTTCATGTCTTTTTTAATTTTGTACTAGACCGATCGAGATCGACTTGATTATGATGATGATGAATTTTGCCGCGCGTGTGACAGCAAAAGTACAGGCATCGGTGAGTTATCATTTAATATGATACATTGACAAAATTTCCGTTCATCATCTCATTTTTTTCTTTCGGGTGCTCCCAGCTGGCAAAACCAAGTCAATCACTGACTTTCAAATCGTCATTATCTTCGACGGTGGTGTCAGCTGGTTGGGGCTCGTAGGCCTTGACTTTTGTTACGACTGTTTTAGTGATTCCTACGAAAGTGTAAATCCGCTGTAAATATAGAAGGAACGTTCACGAATCAAAATACTCGCTTTTAAGGAACAAGACCATTTATGTTCATTATTACAACTAAGTCAATCTAACATTAGCTATTTGCCGGTATATTTTTGTTACTAACAATAGATTGTCTGTACTATTGCAATGAAACTGAAGAGATCACTACTGTGACAAGAAGTGTTCCCAGAATTCACTATCGGAATTGCAATGAAGTAGAATAGCAGTTTCTTTTTTCTGTGTTATATGCCCTTTTAATAGGCTAACTGCCATAGCGGGGCTAAATGATGTGTCCCGCTTTACTAAAATTTTTTACTTACTAAAATTTAATTCAACGTTTTTGCAGCGCGTTCAGCAAGAGTAGCAAATCGAACGATGTCATTTCAATTTTTTTTTCTCACGGTTTCTAGTTCTATTACAGCATACTGATCAATTTTTGTTACGCAGCTATTTTATCTGAAAATTAGAGCCATACAGATTGTTCTTGATTGAAAGAAAGTAGCCTCAGTCTGTACATTAGGAGGTTACAGTCTGTACATTATGAGGTTTAAAATTCACTTAATAGATACTCGGTTGAAAAAGACATGGTATCTTGTCTATCTTCCATCGTGTTAGCTTATAGGCTTATTTTAATTCCTTATAAACAACAGTTTGCGTGACTCTCACTCTTCCAAACTGTGTTTTAATAATTTGTTCTCTTGTTCTCCGATGAGAGCTCCGCTTTGAGGTTGCCTAAACCTCTATGACATTGTGTTGTTCTTATAATTGTACAAACTTCTACGAATTATAGACTGTTAAAAGTAGTTTTCGCCATCGACAGACCGGTCATTGTTTCTTTAGACATCTGGGGCCATCTGTAGAAATCCTAACTTCAGACAGCTCTTGTGTTCAGCCAGTCAAACTCTTTATTCTCACGCCACAAATTAGCAGGTTGCTTGATCTGACATTATATCAATTAGGTTTTATGTAACTGTAGAGCACCCTTTTTCTCAGAAATTCAAGATTTTTTTTCTATCCCTAAAACTGAGTATTCTTTTATTATTCATGATAAATAATGGAGCAATGATCGACGACATAAAAGACGGATCTTTCTGAGTTGAACTGATCGATCAACCATGGAGTAGTGAAACTTGTTAAGACGAGAACGCCAACAGAGCTATAATTAACATTTGGAGTTTGTCATCAGCAAAAGTTAACGCAAACAAGGATCGACGAGACCGAAGATTTAGGTTCGCAATGATTTAGGATTCTTTGCTCATTCTCTTTAATTCAAGCTCTTATCTTAAATGTCTTCTTACTTTTCGATTTTAGCTTGTTGTTTGTCAGTCCTGCCAACACACAGTGCCTGTGCTGGGTAAAATACTTAAAAGGTGAGTAGCTCATTGAAGTTTCCCTTTATGAAAATCTTAATCACTTATCCGGCAAAATATTACAACTTGGAAACGAATTTTGCTACAAGACGAAAAGTCATTTTTGCTATGGGAAGTTTCTGTGGACGAATTATAGCAAAACGTGCCTTTTTTTCAGTAAACCGGCTTACGACGTCATCAAATTTGGCGATGGTTTAGAGCGAAACGAAAACAGGGGCACCCAACGACGATTTTTGGAAAATATCTGTTCGGAAGAGGATTTGAGATCTAGAATTTTCGGAACATTTGTTGTTAAATTTCTTGCTTGCCTGCCTCTACTAGGATTATCGAACCCCCCCAAAATGGTATAGCCCATTTTTAACGGATTTTTACCCTAAAAAGGTCACCTAGAATTTTCGAGCGCCTTTTTTCTGGCTGAAATTTTCGAAAAGGTAAGTTTTGATCCCTATAATTTTCGGATTATTAGACTTTCAGTTAGGAAATCCGAACAGATGAAAAATTTTTAGGGGATGAAAATATGCCTCGACCTACCGTGTAAATACTAAAATACGTTCAACAATGGTATGTTTAAGTGGTTTTGAACTAATATAAATTCTCGTTGGGTGCCTCTGATGAAAAGCTTACGTGTCCGGAAAGTTTTATAACTATGGACTTTTAAGATCCAACGACGCGATTGCAACGAGAACGAAGTGAAGTTTAATAAGTTCTAATTCAGCTTTATCGCAATTATTCCTACGCACTTACTTTTTTCAAATATGTATGCGAACCCTCCTGAAGTTGAATTCCAAGGCACAATAAAAAAAACTCAGAAACAGAAAACTTCTTCGTTGCTTGTTTACGTTCTCCATACTAAACGTGAAATTAGAAGGAGTACCCAACGTAGCCGCTCGACAAAATATCCTCTCTTCTGGCAGAATTTGAGCTAGCTGGGAAGTAAAATCTAAATGAGCGCCCCGCTAGCTGAAAATGTGGAAAATTTATGCCGGTTCTGGCAGGATAAAAAAGGTAATTTTTCTCTCCTGGCAATCGCACTGTATTTTTTTTCTCATGGATAGCCGAGGGTGCGAAGCAAGTAAGTCGGAGTAAAATCACCCCACGCGAGCTTTGAAAATGACACCTTTGGGCAGTAAAAACGGCAATTTGTTTGGGTGTGTCAATAAAAGCAAGCAAAAAATCCTGCTGCTGGGAATGCTTGTAAAAGATACACGTAGTGAAAACACCCATTCAACTCACTCAAATTTTAGTTTTAGGATTCCTTTATATCTCGTAGATATTATGCCTCGAAATAGCCAGAAAAATTGGAGAGAAAAATAATCAGGCTTTTTAGTTCTCACTTGTAAAATACGTCTGTATACTGGCAAGCTATGGTGTGCCGTCGTTGATATGGGGCTGTTATAATTTTTCAGTGTAAAAAAGCAGCGAACAGAAAAGCAAGAAAGCAAAGAGATTGATTAATAAGAGCCTCTAAAATGGCATGGAAACTCTTTCAAATTCCATACATACGAGGTTTACCTGTGTGAACATTTCTCTCCTTCTGTCTTTGAAAAAGTACATGAAATACGACAAAGGAAACAACTGACAATTCATTGGTCAACTGAGACACGTTCTAATCAATCATCAGAAAGTTCAACTTGTTATTTCATCATGTCATTTATTAGTCTCGAACAAGCCTTTTCTTGATACTGCGCAACCATATTATTGGTCGATGTCAAAGTCCATGACATCCGTATTTACTGCACACGTAACCTCTTTTCAAACGTGTTTTAAACATGAAAGTGTAATGTTGATTCAGTACGGATAAATAGCTCTTTGGTGGAGCAGAGATATTCATTCTAATCTCAGCTCCTGGAATCAGACTGCAGCAACACTAAAACTGAAAGGTTAGTACTAAATTCGTAATTTGTTTCCAATTTTTTTTCCCATAGCGTGAATTCTAGATCGGTCTTGTTTAAACTTGGGAAAAGACTGAAAAACTCATTTATTTCATTTTATTTATTTATTTCCCATTCCATTATAAATAGTCAAGATAAATTACAGACAACGTTAGTGCTTGAGTCATAGAAAGTTTACAATACGTGATAAAATACAGTTAAGATCATTGCATTTAAATACGTTTGTCACAAAGAATAATAAAAAAAAAACTCAGCTAAAATGACGCAAGTAGGTCCACTAGCAGGGAGCGAAAAGAAAGGCGAGAAGCGTCGATATTTGCTGCACAAAACTTTGTAAAGCTCCGATAAAGCTTGCAGAAAATCGCCCGGCGAACACTCGCGAAGTGATAGACTATTTAGAATGCATAGCTTTTTCATATTTCGAAATTGTATGCCACAATACGAATATCATTGTAAATGTTATAACATTTGTTTAATAAGTAAAGAATTACAACGAATTGAAATATTTGTTTAATTTATTTTTTTAACATTTGAATGAATAAAACGTTTTTATATTTCTGTGTATAGAAACAAATACCTTGCATTACGATATTGTGTCACTCAGTGACTAACACCTGTAATATGCTATCGTTTTTCCAGATCCCGAGGTATAACGAAGCCATAGAGAGCAGTATGAAAATACTACTGTACATCGCGATTTATGTACTTTTAATTACTTTGAGTTCCACGAAAAGCAACAGCAGCAGCAACAAAACCCCTGGGAAAAAGGTATTTTTAAAATTAATTAATACAAAATTTTGGAATTTCTATTTGTAAAATTTTGGTCCATTGCTATGACAGAACCATCAAATCTACAGAACAGGCTTCCTGATTACCGTAAACTGCGCTGACAAACTCTAGGCTTATAGATCTTCGCCAGGGGTTTTACGAGGGACAATAAACGGAGGGGCTTATATCTATCTTATGTATATTATAACCGGCCGGACTAGAAAAATGGCCTCGAAACAAGCTACTTCACACTAGGGGACGGCTTACATCCGGGGGCTTGTAATCGGAAGTATTTCTTTGTTTACAGCTAGATGGGCCCATAACTGAGGGGGCTTACAACCAGCAGTTTACTGTATTCCTCTGTTAAGGGATATGTTTGGTCAGTAGCGAATCCAATAACTGGCCACATAAATGAGTTCCTCTATATCGGGGGCTCCCGAAACCACGACATCATGTCCGCCAGTCAGAGAATTAACTACAACAACTAGAGGTAATCATTGATCACGGATCCGCGTTCGTCACTTACGGAAACGAAATCGAGTCGGAAGGAGTCCAGTTTTCCGGCTTGTGAAGCAAGCTGTAAAGCTCAAGAAACTTTGCTCATTATTAATTAAAAGTGAATTTTCCGACCCCTGAGTTTCAGTTTCAGCCGTTGAACGTCCGACGTTGGACGTAGGCCTTCCCCAGTGACCTCCACTGGACCTCGTTTTGAGCGACGCGGTGCCAGTGTCTTAGGAAACTATCAAAGACTTCACTCCATCTCGTCCTTGGTCATCCCCGGTTCCTTGTGTGGCAACCTCACCTGAGGACATATAAAATATCCTCTCTCTGAAGGCAACAACCCCATTGTTATTTCTAATCCTATTTCCAAATGACACGTCGACGATATAAGTGACAGCGACAACAGGAAAGAAAAAAAATCAACAAATATTATCAGGCTTTTTCTTTTTTGCGTTACCGTCTCAAAGCAGTTAGTCTGCTGATCTATTGACCAACTAATGTGTTTATGCTCCTTAAAAATAGTGTGCAAACCAGACTTCATTTGGGTCATGTGGTCAGAGTACTTGCTTCTGCGCACCAGGAATTCCAGGGATCCCGGGAAGTCCTGGACCCGCGGGATCTCCCGGAAATCATGGACCTGAAGGACCCACGGGCCCAAGAGGTAACAAAGGTGATGAAGGATCTCGTGGAAAGCAGGGACCTAAAGGAGATACAGGACCCTCGGGTTCGACGGGTCTACTAGGAAGCAAAGGTGAACAAGGTGCTCGTGGTATCCAATGTCCCCAGGAAAATCCTGGTTCTACGGGTGCCTTGCAAAGTAACTGGAAACAGTGCGTTTTTAAGAATTTAGATAACGGCCAAGACACTGGTTTGATCAAGGTAAACAATCAACTGAATTATAGTTCTGAATGTCATGCTTTTTGTCTTCAGATAGAGCCTCCTAGGTCTAGCAGAATTGTGTTTCATAACTCATTTACTACACATAATTAACTTGAGGAAGAGGAAAGTAAACTAAACGGACAGCTTACTAATTAAAAGGCTGCTCAAGATCGTACCCATCATTTTTACAATACATTACGACTTATGTATCTTGGGCAGCCGGCCTTTTTCTACCTTAAGCCGAGTTAAGAATTTTCAAATGCGTTTTATTAATCCGCCTGTGCTTCATATTATGTCTTACTATCTTGACCCAGACTTTAATTATTAATTTAAAACTTTAATTAAAGATTATTTTTGACAAGTTGTAATGCGCATTTTTTTCCTTACCACTGTTTGTTTATTTGCGCCAGATTGCTAATAAAAATCAGTATAGAGCTTTTCCACCTACTTTGCGGGAAGTGTTTACAAATTCCACAAGATTGGCCTGGAACAACAACGTGGCCGCCATAACGTCGTGTAAAAACGAGGATCCTCGAAAAAATTATACTTACAAGCAAAACGCTGCAAATCATGATAAGGCAATGAAATGGCGGCTTTCAATTTCTCCACAGGAATGTATTTTCAACAAAAAATCCGACAAAACAGCCTTGCGTGTCTTCTGGAATGGCGATTTCCGCGTCTATAACTGCTATAGGTGTTGCAGTCGGTGGTATTTCACCTTCAATGGTGCAGAGTGCTCAACCCCGTCCGCCATTGATGGTATATTTATTGTGTGGAATGATAAAAATTTTGTAGGGAATCCACATCGCCCACGTCACATCGAAGGAATCTGTGAGAAACTACGCAAGGGCCCTGTTCGGGTGGGATTCTGGGTCGGTAAGTGTGTAGGTACTGGCTACACGGGTGGAGACGCGGCCACAGGCTTTCATTCAGTGTCCCGGATCTACGTGGAAGAAGTGTCTCCTCCACAGGCCTGAAGGAGAAGCTTTTTGTCGTTCCATTCTTTTTCATTGTTCTAAATTTCGCAAGGCTGCTAATGGATTAAAGGAGCACTACGGTAGAAATTAAAAAACAAACTTAACTAGATAAATAAAAGCTTGATTTCTTTGTGGCAGCCAATTACTAACATTTCTGCGTGTTTGCAATTAAAGAAACGAGTCCGAACATAGTTTGCTTCGTTGGGTGAATTTATTGTCGTTAATACCATTTGTAAATTGGGAGGTTATCGATCAAGTAATACCAGACACGCATTTGAAAAAAATCGTTCTTTTTCTTAGCGTATCAAAGTCCAACGAACGCCCAGGGATCAGACTGTGAAGCAAAAAAATTGTTTCCTAGCTGACATTGCAAATCATAATCCCGCAGTCTATTTTTTAAAACTCAAGACAGCATACCCTAAGCCCAAAAGGCTGAAGGGAACCCAAAGAGTTAACGTATAGCATCTAGGGTGCTCAGCACAAAACAATTGTTGAAAAAAACTACCTGGCGCTGCTAGAATACACTGTTCTAACACTTTAAGGCTGGAGTAAAACTCAGCTATCAAGGTAGAAGAAAGCAGTTTAAGGGCGCTCGGGATTTGAGAGAGTGTCATTCGCGTGGCTAACCTAACATTTCCACGAGAATGAGACGTCCCTCGCACTTGGCACTCTTGGTCCGCAACCACTTGACATGGTTAGTTGTTCGCAGAATTTGCATGAAAAAATATAGTTTATTTCCAAGACTGCAAAGAAATTCTGTTTTGTTGACCAACATGGCCGATGTGACTTCAGCTGTAAACCTGCAAAGAAACTTTAAGCAACGACGACGGCGACGGCAACGAGAACGGAAAAAAAACAATGGGTTTAGACTGGCAAAAAAACAACTTTGCACTTGCATCACGCTTTTTTGTACATTTCTCAGCCGTCGTTGCACGACCACAATGTGAAAGTGCCTAATTTCACGTTTTGTCGAGGACTGGAACACAAAACAACAATTTTGCTTTTCTTTTCCTGAACTTTGATACAATCCTTTAGAATTCAACTCCAAAGAAATTTGCCAACATTTGACGAATTAAACGAGATGGAATAAGCGCGATAAAGTTTGAGGCAGCGCGAATTCACTTTTTAAGTGACGTTTTCGTAGCCGTCGCCATCGTCGTTGCTTAAGCTCATGAATGAATGAGTCAAGAACCTTCCACACCCCGTGGGTAAACTTCGCTTTTACTCTCACCTCATAAAGATGAGGTCCGAATTTTTTAACCTACCAAACTTTGATCCCAATACATTAGATACCACTATAGTAAATAAAACATCGTAGCTTTATGAAATAGAACCATATTTCAGTTGGCAACATTCTCTTCAAAACTCGCAAAAACTAGAGTTATATACGATTTTTCTTTTTAACATGAATAAGCCACTTTAAAATATCTCGCCCCTTACAAGAAAACACCTGAGAGGACTGGTCAAACTATAGACAAGAAAACCGTGCTCAACATACCAGTTTGGCTTAATCTTGCGTTAAACTTGACCATTTTTCGAGGAACCGGGCCCAGGTTTTAATCTCGTTACTGTGAGAAAATCCAACAAATTGATGTTGCCTGCAATCAGCAAGAACAACAACTGATGGCTTTATTTGAATGACCCTAAACTTTACTTATTTTTGCAAAAGCGTGCCAAAACACTAAGATCATGATTAAAAACTACATTAATAATAGTTTATCCCCAAAATTGAACTGACAAGATGATATGAATTCAATGATTTCTTTGTTAATAAGCTCGGTAATAAGGAACGAAGCAGTTTTCATAATTTTCATGATCAATTCGTTAACGGATAGTTGCTTACTTTTTTGGAATTAGAGACTGTACCTTAATTTAAAAGTTCTCTCATTTTTTGAGTATTTGTAGCAGTAAAAAAATAAGAAAAGGAATTACGTCTTTGATTGATTATATCACAAGAAGGGCAATGTCTGTCGACTCTATTTATTTGACTGTATTTGCCAATCTCCATCATCAGCTTGTGACGGATTGCATAAAGGTATGACACCTATCTCATCACTGAATTAAATTGCGAATTCAAACGTTTTCTAAAAGTAATGAAAGTGAAAAGTGAAAAGTTATGTCTATGTTCATTATCAAGGCTTACTAAAGTTCTATTATCACAGAAGAAAATGACGTTGTTTCTATAGAGATTCTGAAAAGTTTTATTCATTTCTTTGTTTTCCATTTTTCATAACCTTAGGTTAGTCGGGCGATGAAACAAATCACTTCATGCGCATCACCTTACTAGAAAATGAATCTGTCAAATTGTCAAATTTGAGATAAAGAATAATTTTTTCTTCATAAATTTCATGACGCTCTAATGAGAAGAATATCAGGGTGTATTCACTTCTCGTGACTTTTTTCATAGTTCTCTTTTGTCGTCTTACTTCTATAGTCAATTATAGAGGTACGAAAAGTGTTATAGTTGTTACTTTAGTAAATTCTATTGGGAAATTTGTCTCAGAACTTTTAGTTTTAGGCACTATGCAAAGCGGAGATGTTAGAGGCGTTGAATGACATGGAAACTCGTCCATTCATCATACAAGAGGTTTCCTTAACAATCTTCGTTTTCTTTCTTTGACCAATTACCTGAATATATAATAAAGAAAAAAGGCGCCAATTCAATGGTGAAATGAGATTCGTTTTAACCAGTTAGAAAGTTTAACTTTCTCTTACATCATTCTCCTTTTTCAGCTTTGAACGAGTTCTTTTTCTTGTAACTGTGCAATCATATTATTGGGTAGTTCATGGCTCTGTGATATCCGTACACGTAATCTCTTTACTAACGTGTTTTGTAACATGATGAGTATGTTTAGAGTAGATAAATAGTTCTTTTAGTATCGCAGAGAAGCTAATTCTAATCTCATCTCCTCGGATGACTGTAGCAGCTCTCTAATTAACTGATACTGAATGTAAGTACTGAATTTGTGTTGTAATTAAAGTTCGTCCTCAATTCTTTTGCTGCTCATGCGACTTAATATGCACGACACTGTATGTTGCTTAGGATGCACTGACTCAAACAACTGTTATATTTAATCTGTGAACTTTTAACTTCAACGAAAAGGTTTTTGAACTAAACGACTAGTGAGGGGAGCAAAATTCCTAAACAATCTCAGGAGTGAACGGTATGGACAGAATGAAATGTTTTAGTTGAATATCTAGAGGGATTTCCAAGTTATAAACACTATAACCTACTGACCTTTTAAAGTAAAGACGTATCGATTTATATCCGCGGATAGCGGATAGTTATTTGTTGGTGTAGGGCAGAACTTTGTGTGTCTCTGCTATCATTTTTTGCGAAAAATCGGATCCTTGCGAGGGGATCGGAGGTGAAGCATCAAATCTCTCCTAATTCAGTATTCAGCAAATCATGTTCTGTTGAATAAATACATCTTAAGAGCAAATGTCTGTAAAAATCGAGCAAAATCGAAATTTCGCGGCCACAGTCAAAAAATCATTTTCGCTCATATCTTGTCCATAGATAGGTATAAGTAAGAAATTAAACGTGGTGTAGTTTGTTTTTCAAAAGGCCGCTTGGATTTGGAGAAAATCGACAAAATCAATTTTCGTGGTCGGCGACTTGAAAACAACCAAAATTTGAGGCAAAATGAGGCGGTCTCAAAACTTCGCTCGCACGCAAAAAGGAAGAAAGCGTGGTAAAATATTCCCCGATAAATCAATTTATAAAGGATTTTAGCCCTAGTATGGCGGTTAATTCTTATCTTCACGATAATGTGGAAGGTAAACAATTTTATTTTAGTTTTGGTTCTTTTTCAACTCAACGAAGTTTAAATTTAGGCTTCAAGTCGCGATTTAATTTTTAGGCATGTGCTACACCTTGGTTTTTCCTGAAACTCAAGGCATAAGTCATTTAAACATTGTGCTAAAACATATGTAAGAATTGGCCTGGGTAATTAAATTTGTACTTCACACGAACCTTCCGAAGTTGAATAAATTTTGCTTGAAATATGAGACTTTTCAAGAACGTCGGTTGGTTGTTGCTCGACAAGCCACGATGGCTGGACTCTCCAAGAGAAACGTAACACACAATCGCACTTGTATTAAAGACATTAAATGTACTGAGACGATAATTTTTGTTACCTCACTGTGTTTTCCCGTTCTGGTTAACTGGCATTGCGCCTAGTCCCAAGCTAATCAACAGAAGATCCAAAACCTCGAGGAAACGTGGTGCGTGAAAATAACCTCAAACAGAACATTTCTTGGTATTGCTGGCCTTTCTTTTCCGCAGTCAAACTTTTACATCCATTGCCATTTAAAAATTCTAGGTCTCACAAAAACTGCGATTTTGATAGTGAAACTTTCGGGCTGCCGATACACCTTTGGTCATAAATGTCTGGTCAAAAGTGTTGCGTGACAGTATTCACAGGCTTTCCAATCTAACCATTTGAGCGATGCCTTTTTTTAATGTTCTTGCCGGAAGTAGCATATTATGCTACTAACAATCCAAATCATGTTTTTTTTTTTAAATTTTTTTCCTAAGTTTTCTTAAAGTATGCTTCTATACAATACTCAATAAGTCCAAAAATTAAATATAGTTTTTCACGTCAACTTCCCCCCTCTTGCCTTGTATTTGCCTTTGATTGACTTCAGGCTTCAATCTCTAGCTATTACACCGCGTTATCAGGCGGCTGTCTTTTCTCTCGCCGATGTAAGTTCCATTGTTTTGGATAACAGTTTTCGTAAACATTCTGCAATTATCTTTCAGTATTTTTTTCCTGATCTGAACATGGTTGTCCGATCGTCAAACTCTTGTTTCTGTTTATATACAGAGGAACCCCGCCTTTTGACCACCCCGTTTATACGACCACCTCTTGTCTCACCTCCCATAGTCCTTCGACCCAGACATGAAAATCTCCGAGTCATTTTATTATTTTGAAGACCTCTTCAATGCCACCACCTCGCTATTACGACCAGGATTTTATGGCCCAACGCTGGGGTTCCACTGTATATTTTAATTTCAGTTTTCCACTTTATAGAACAAAAAACAAAAAGATGTGCGTCAGCTGGACTATGGCGATTAATGTGAAGAACTAAAATTTAGGCCCCGCTTATATGAAAAAAATTTGTCTCGAGCAGAAGGGTCACCAGCTTACCCGAGCTTCCCTGGAAGAGGCAACTTTTCACGCATTTCTTTACAAAACATGGCGAACCGTTTAAATGACAAAAAGTTGGCTCGGCTGGAAGGCTGACCCACCTTGTCCAGTCACCCTTTTGCAATGGTAGGGTCAGCCTCCTAGCCAGGCCAACTTTTCTCCATATTAAGCACTTTACGCGCTTTTCGGAAAATCCACGTGCCCAGTGGAACGGTACATTCCAGTTGCACCGACCAAACAAAAGCCACCGCGAGTTTGGTTATAGTGCTTGTAAGCAGGATACAGATCAGTGGTCCTGGGGAAAATAATTTTGTCAAATGGAAGGAGACATTTCGGTCCGACCGTCTAGATCAAATCCGATCCGTATCGGTAAAGGGCTTGCATAGCCAAAGCGAGACAATTAGAGCATGCCCGAAGGCTGGTTGGGGTCAATGTCTTTTTTTTTTCTCTCGGCTGGGAGGGTGACTCTCCTACACGAGACAGGTTTTCTCCATATAAAGGGGATCAAAATTTTCGGATACGAAATTGTGATAGAGAAGGAATCAGAGAAAATTTCAAAATTCTCGAAAAAAATAATTTTGAAGCCCTTGTAATTTCGATCGAAAAGAATACTCAAGTTGCCCTTTGGATGACCGAACAATTTTTATAATTATATGGCGCCGCATGAAACTTAGTAATTTGGATAGCATGAAAGTGTTTTCAATACAGTTAGGAGGAAACTGACGTTGGGTGCCCCTGTCAACTATCGCCTATCGCTTCCACTACTTTCTTTACCCACAAAGTTTTCTTTTCAATTTTACTCTCGGTCATTTTGCCATGTTCTGAGTGTGCGCTTTAGTACCGGTCTTGAGACTGAAACTTGGTGGCTCGTCAGAAATCCATGATCAGAACTCTTGAAAAGAAAGTCTCCGACCATAACTTTCTCTCTGTCATCAGTGAGACGGATATTGAGGCTGCATCCGCTTCTGGGCCTGTTTCTCGAAAGTCCTGATAATTAACGGGCCCCTAAAGCTGTTCTTGATTACATGCAAGATAGAAATTTCAATAGTTTTGCATCTAACATGATAAAACTATCAGTTAATGATTTCGGGCCCGAAAAGTAATAGGGACTTTGGACAAACGGACCCCTGGGAAACAGTGCCTAAACAGTGTCCTTTTTAACGTGAATTTGAAGACGCCAGGGCAAAACCCATTGGTAAACACGTTTGATTCCAGCTTTCTAGCTTGCTGTATCTGCGGTATATCATCTTAGTGTCAGGTTTTAAAGCTTGTTTGAGTAGCCGAACATGCTGTAAGGAGGAAATTATCCGATATACTTTGAGGTATCCTTTGGTAAAGGAATCAGAGAGGAACAGGTCAGCTTTCTAGACCCCAGGTTTCCTTCATTGTATATATTCAATACTACAAACTGGAACTCACGCCTTAAGTCTTCACACTCAAGGAGAGGTTTGTAGTCTTGAAAATAGCGCTACGTCATCTGCCACTCCAAAAGGCCGCCCTGCCTGGATAGCATTTCCCCAATTACTTTGCAATATTTCCTTAGTTGAGTGTGCTAATGCAAGTTTTTTAATGCTGGTTAGCCTGTGCAAGCATTTGAAAAGGGGGGAGACAGGGCTTAGAGCAAATTGCTTACCGAACATCCTTGAGTAAGAGTTACAGCGTAACCCTTTCGACGGGTTCTTCTAGCCCCTCAACGACCATTCCATGTGAGTCTTAAGAGGTAGTACCAAGAGAGAGTACCTAAGTAAGATTCAGAGCCACCCTTCCTCAAAATATACATATGAAATAGCATAATTTTTTCTTTATTATGATTCTTCACTCAAAACAAAAAAAGCTTCCGAGATCATTTATCGAGGTTTTCCAAAGTAAAACCTACTCAGTGTTCGTGTGTACTAGCAGGGCGTATGATTTTGATGTTTTCCAAATCCCTTAGTCAATTCTTTTATCACGCAGGTGTCCGATAAACTGACCACCACTTTACACTTTTAAATCAAGCACTGTTGACAGCCAGACTATGCAACCTTTCAGTTGTTGTATAATTGAACAAATAACTTTGGAAACATCAAAGAAATGTATAAACAATTTTGTTTTCTGCACATTCTTAAGTTCGAAAGATGGTGTTCGTTGTCACGCCACATCACTCCTTGTCTTCTCACACTTAGGCAATACTGTGACTCGCTATATGTAGTAACTGATTCTACTAAATGGTAAGAACATCTTTCAAATCGCCGAAAATGTCTTTAAAACATATTTTTCTCGTGATATATTTTGTTCAACCACCTTAAGAATTTAGATCATAACGCTCATTTGGTTTGAGTGACATTTTAATAACCCTGGCCCATCTCCAATGACCTTTCATTAGAGGTCAAATTACAAAATGCGTTAGCGCCAGCAGAATTTGGAGCTTGAGCGTAGAAAAATTAAAAGAAGTGCCCCGTACTATAAAGGTAAGTTAATTTCTTTTTCGTGTTAGCAAATTTATTATCGTACTACTATCGTACATCAGATTTCTTTTCAGGAAACACCAATGATCCGTTTCGGCAACAGCGAGGCGTTGTTGAATTATGCAAATGTATCCTATTTCACTCAAAAGTTGTTCAAGTTCAGAAGGTTCGTCTGAAGCGCAGATTAAATTACCCAACCCAGTTCTCACATATGTTTTAGCACAGTGTTTTAATAACTTATAGCTTGAGTTTCAGGAAAAACCAAGGTGTAGCACATGCCTAAAAATTAAATCGCGACTTGAAGCCTAAATTTAAACTTCGTTGAGTTGAAAAAGAACCAAAACTAAAATAAAATTGTTTACCTTCCACATTATCGTGAAGATAAGAATTAACCGCCATACTAGGGCTAAAATCCTTTATAAATTGATTTATCGGGGAATATTTTACCACGCTTTCTTCCTTTTTGCGTGCGAGCGAAGTTTTGAGACCGCCTCATTTTGCCTCAAATTTTGGTTGTTTTCAAGTCGCCGACCACGAAAATTGATTTTGTCGATTTTCTCCAAATCCAAGCTGCCTTTTGAAAAACAAACTACACCACGTTTAGTTACTTACTAATAAGTATGTATGAACAAGATATGAGCAAAATTTAATTTTTGACCGTGGCCGCCGGTTGTTCGATATTTACAGACATTCGCTCTTAAACGCTTAAAGTTATTAGTGTTTGTCCTGTTTAGTTTTATTAAAAAATTCAATTAATTGAAAGTATTTCATAAACTTACTACAATTGGTTTCTTTATACTGAAATTACTTAATATGTAATTGAGTTTTTTTGTGGGTAAAAAAATAAGACAATATATTATAATAATTTATCAATATTGCTTTTCAAGAATTTCAGGAGCCCAAGAGACGCCCAAGACTGCAGTATGAGGATACCGCTGTACATAGCGATGTATGCACTGCTGACCTCTTTGTGTTCTGCAAGTAGAAACAGCAGCAACAACAACCCCCCCAAAAAGAAGGTGAATATGTGAATCCAAACGTCTCGCCTTTCTTTCGCCCTCCAATGACGACAGATCGCCTATGTCCTATTCAATTACAATTCCACTCGGGAAAACTTGGCTGGTGGCTAGCGAATGTAGGATGGTTAATCTAAATATTCTTCGTCGGATTTAAAAAACAAACAGCACTATCTCAGTACATGTATACCCCCAATCTGTAATACATGGTAATACATTACTGTATAGGCTACAGTAACAATAGATAAACACACGTGGACGATTTCCTTTTTGGTATAAGTTAAAGTTACTAGAAAAAGTTTAATAATGCGAGTATCAACTAATACATTTTATACTTCACAATCAACAGACTTCATTTGGGTCATGTGGTCAGAGTGGTTGCTGCTCCGCACCAGGAATTCCAGGGATCCCAGGAAGCCCTGGACCCGCGGGTCCGACCGGCAGTCATGGACCTGAAGGACCCACGGGACCAAGAGGAAACAAAGGTGATGAAGGATCTCGTGGAAAGCAAGGCCCAAGGGCGATCCAGGTCCCCCGGGACCAGCCGGTCCAACAGGAAGCAAAGGTGAACCAGGGGTTCGCGGACTCCAGGGTCCTCAAGGTCCCTAGGGAACTCCAGGATCCTTGGGACGGAACTGGAAGCAGTGTTTTTTTAAGAGTGTAAATGATGACAGGGACTCTGGTTTGATTAAGGTAAACACTGAACTCCTTCCTAATAATAATTTTAACATTTTTTTAGTTTCATGAATGAATCAGCTGCAAAAAATTTCAAACATCTTGAGAGAACTAGGAAAACATTTAAAGCGGACACCGCAGTCTAATTACTACCGGGATGGCTAAAACACCGCAGCTGTCATTTTTTACAAATAAAATACTCCTACTGTCAACATCAGTTTCAAATAGGCGGAATAAAAAAGTGCATAAAAACCTATTTCAACCAATCAGTTTCAACCTCTATCCCTGTGTTTGCCTCACTAATATTTCTATTTGTTTTAATAGGAATGCGTTTTCAAGAAAACATTCGACAGTACCGCGCTGCGAGTCTTCTGGAATGGAGATTTCCGCATCTCTAACTGCGATGATTGCTGCAACAGGTGGTATTTTACATTCAATGGAGCGGAATGTGCTAGTCCGGGAGCCATTGATGGTATTGTTTACGTGTCGTTAGGTACTAAATGGAGAAAGAATCCACACCGACCACGCCACGTCGAAGGAATCTGCGAGGAGCTCCACAAGGGGACGGTACGCGTGGGATTCTGGGTGGGTAAATGTGCTTCACGAAAACCTGGTGACGCCTACACGGGTTGGAACTCAGTGTCCCGGATGTACGTGGAAGAAGTACCTCCTCCGCAGGCCTAAAATAAAAGATCACGCTGGTCGCCCGCCCTCTTATTATTTTTTTAAAGGGTGCTTTAAAGTTCTTAATGAATAAGGACTGTCTAAAAGTAAAAAGCGGGTACTGTACATTAAATTCAGTATGGTTGTGGAAGTAGCTGATAAACAGACTGAAGTAAATAAAGGCAACAGATGATGAAGGGTATCATTGATTGAAGCTTTTTTTTGTGACAACATCACGTACCGGTGAAATGCATACTTTAGTCTCAGCAGCCTAATTAGTTCGAATTTCTCTCGTTGTAGAACGACTGTCCAAGAATAGGTGAAAAGCGGTATGCTCATATAAAACATGGTCCATACTACAAAAAAAATAAAGACTAAGGTCATGGCTATTTTTCTTTCTTTTTTAAAATTCATCCTTGTCGATGCAATGTAATGGTTATTCCGCGCACAAAGTACGATAGACAATCATGCTTGTTAAAGTAGCTTTTGTCTCGACGGCCTCGTTAACTCTTCATCCTTAAATTCTGAAGTAAATTATATATTCGTGACGTGGTGCTTGATCATTTATATCATTGGGACTGCGAATAATTGCTAATATTCAGCCACATATAGTTGTTAATTTCAAGGATCAATTATTTTTTCGCTTTTGGTGTTTCGGTACAGTTTCTCGGAGACCATACCGATATTTTTCAACCGCCTTAAGGTGATTCCTTATAAAGAACCTATCATAGATTGTAGATGAAACTTGGTACACTGATGTAAGAAGTCAAGAAGATGATAAAAAATTAGTAAAAAGTGGGGGTCACGGTGCTTGTTTTGACGTCGCAATGCTGACAAATACGGCTATTTAGGACCCTTTGACAAGAACCGCGCGCAGCCCAAAACTGGACAAAAAGCGAGCCATACATACCTCCATGACTAGTACATTTCAGTGTGAGTATTGTCAATGGCTGCGGTCACATCCACGACGTAACTTAAGTTTAACTTAAGTTAGTCTCAAGTTAAGTGACGTCATACCTAACTGTAGTTAGTGCTTTTGGTCGACATTGCGGTCACACCACGCAGTTAACAACAGTTAGTTCTACTGATTAGCGTATGTAAATTTTCTGTTTCTTGTTTTTGGTTTCCCCCTCGCTTTGCGCTTGGTTTTTATTTTGTATATTTATATATGCTCATCTCGCACCTGCGAAAAGAAGTGTCACATTCTGATTGGTTGTTTGTTTGTAAACTTAAGAGTAACCCACGAACCTGGTTTGGGTATAACTATAGTTAGACCCTGTTTACATGGAGCGGGGGACCCCGGTCTAGTGGGGTAGTTTTCTTTTGTTTTGTGTCCCCCAGAGCGTGAAAACAAAAGAAACCAACCCCACTAGACCGGGGACCCCCACTCCATGTAAACAGGCCCCTAGTCTGTATTGTTTTTGATCATCGAGGCGTAAATTTTCTAACTGTACTAAGGGCCTGTTTACATATGGAGGTGGAAGACCCCAGGCTGGTGAGGTAACCCGCTTTGGTGGGTAACCCGACTGTCCACATAATCTCTCATTTTTACATGATAGGTTGGGTGACCCGCTGCATGTTACCTCACCTTTCTGGGGTCCCCCACCTCCATGTAAACAAAGAGCAAACAGAGAAGCGCCGAACACATTACCGAAATAGCTAACTATAGTCTTAACTATAGTTAGTTGCCCAGATGTGACGGCAGCCAATGTTTTACATTCAAAAGACGCGATAAAATTAAAACTGAAATGTACTAGTCATAGTATGGTTCGCTTTAATTTGGAAAAATTAGCATAACGTCAAAACAGCGATTGTTACAGCGCCGATTTTTGGCTGCGGTTGGTAAGCTAAGTTTGTCTTGAAATTTCAAGGTGTTGCAGTAAATCAATCTTCATGAAAGTTTCAGACATTATTATATGCATAGTGAAGATTAAGTGACGAGGTTTTAAACGAATTCTGTCGAGCCGTTTTAGAGATATACGGAAAACACTAGAAGTCAAAATTTAGAATAAAGTTGCACTTAGACAGGTAGCGAGAATACAGGTTAGTTCTCAGGATCGCAAGAAACAAAATACATCAAAATTTCCAAGCAGCTAAATATGATATTAAGCTACTTAAGAATAATTTGATTTATTTAAAACTTTTTTATTAAACAATTTCTCACGGCTATTGAAAATGTAAGGTTTGAAATCTATTTACGTTTTAATTGAATTCAAACATACAGAATTTTTTCTCACCGAGGTTATTTGCTAAACACCGCATTTTAAGTTCCTGGTGTCGGATTTTCAGTATCAGGTCTACATCGCGCAAAAATCGGCTTTTATAGATTTCAGATTTTTTGTTTATTGTTGTCATAGTGATAACGATTTCAGGTAAAACTGTATTTTGACAAACCTCAATTCATAGTTAATCACTGGTGAAAACTTTATAGCAATCGGACAAGGATAAAATCATCTTCATGGCGATTGAAAAATATCGGTATGGACTCCGAAAAACTGTAACGAAACATCTTAAACAAGAACTTTCCAGTTTCGTAATAGTTTTACCTGCAATCATACCGACAAAATTAGTTGAGACACTCTGCCCTTAAGGGGCTTTCTGACGTTTTACTGAATTCCAGAGGGGAAAATAAGGCTTTTCCTCAACCATGCAACATTGTGCCGCTGTTAGAGCTACCTTTAGAAAACATAAAACACCCCAACTTTTGAATGAAGGGGACAGGGGAGGGCTGTGGACTATTGTGTTCTCTGGAGTTAGCCTATTTGAGTACAATGTCTCAACAATTTTGTCGGCGATTGTGGCTGCTGCATTAAACAGGGTTTAAAAGACGATTTATTGTCGGGAGTGAACGACAACCCGGGGGTGGTACTGCCATATATGGGCTATATAGGTATGTGCCGCTGTGAAGGGTATGGTTTTCAAGCAGTTTACTCTAGGAAAGGGAATATAAATCAGAACGTTTGGGTCTAGAATAGGGTATCATTTTTCAGGAAACTGATCAGTTGGTTGAAGGTTTTATCTAGACTAGGGAAACAGCTACCCTAGGATAGGGGGGATTTGGGGAGTTTAC